TAAGTCTATCAAATTCATATTAAACATGAAAAAGTGATATTTATGTAAGACTTATCTATGGTCTTCATTTCTGGAGTCGCTCAGTTCTACGTGCTTTCCTTGTGAGGGACTGATCAAAATGAGGAAGTATCTAAATTTCCCGCTAGTAGGACGATCTCTTTTTTTTCTATGGAATCATGGGAATTAGATTTTTTTTTATTTCTCTTGATCACGAGATTACTACAATTCATGAAGATAAAGTAATTGTAACCGTTTTGTCATCCACACTTTACAGAAGTGGAACATTATCTCTATATGTTCACGCCTACTGTTTTGATTTCTGAGTTGAAGAAATTATTGGTGTATAAAATTTTAAGCAAAATGTTGAAAATATTTTCTTTCCGCGGTTCCATTGAGCAAGCATAAAATGAACCATTTTTCATAGAATCATTGCATCTGACGGTTTCTTGATTTTTGGGAGATTTTTAATTACAGAAATTACGAGTCTCATTTTCTGTCGATAGCATCAAATAAGAGGTAAGGGTATCGACGTACATTTAGATATCTGGGGTCAATTGGACTATCCGATGGGGGAGGGTCAGTTAAGGACTGTCGAGTCAAGGGGGTTGATAAATGCTTGGGGTGAAAAAAATGGTTGATAAATAAATTTTAAAACTAAAATTCACTAATTTCTAACCAAATTTCAATGTCCTTGCTCAACAAACACATCCTCCCTTTTAATGATGTCATCATAACAAGATATATTAATTTATTTTAACATGTCTATTATTACCTATATTATGAAAATTTTCTCATTATTATTATTGTTGTTGTTGTTATTATTATTATTATTAACTTCTTTCTTCGAACTCTTTTGTTGTTTTCAACCGAAGATCTTATATTATGGGTGTTCTCCATCAAGTCGTACGACTTCAAACAGATAGAAACTTTCGCAGAATATCTGCAGAACTAAACAACACAGACTTCTGATACAATGGAATATTAGGCTTTATTCCATTTTTTAATATAGGTCTTTAGCTTCGGTGGTATAAAGCCCAAACCCCAATGATAACTGAGACAATAATGGCCTGAACGTCCCAACTTCTGTCAACCTCAAACCGGAGGTCAGTGTACTTTTTAAGCTTTTTAGTTTCTTTGGATTTAATATTATGATCTCCACGAAAATCACATTGATGAGGAGTTATTTTCATTTTTTTAATGATGGTGATGTCTCGCTTGCGGTCAGTTTGGATGCCCAAGTCAAGATCTTTTGTGATTATAATCACAAAAGGTCTTGACTTGGTCGTTTTCGATCACCTTCTCTGGTTTGTGGCAGTGCCATTTCTTTTAAATATCATTCATAATTCCCGCATAGGCACTAATGCAGATGAGAAGCCATTTTTTTATGACGGTGCTTGTATGCTTTCTATGCACGTATCCGAATCCACTTGTTGATAAATGCTCTTCCAGATAGAATTAGTATTCAGGGCTTGGTGTTTGGCGGCTACCAGTAGGGTTTCAATCTCGCGTTTCAGTTCGCCTTTCGTCAACTAATCCCACAAATCACTTGTTTTAATGGCTGCAGTGCTCTTTTTGTGGTGTAATGGATATCGGCTCAGAATGAGAAATCGGAGAGCCAAGTTCCAATCACAGTCGAGTTCGTTACGTTCACTTACGCACAAATACTCTTGGGAAAGGTATGAATTCATCTCCTCTATCTCCAACTATGGGTTAAATAGCAGGAGAAACTAGGTTCGTTTGCCCGGGTTGGCAACCAATCTACCGCAGAAAGAAATGGCAACTTACTCCGGAAAAATCGTCTGTCTAGTCAGTCATGAATCAAAAGGGACACGATCGCTTAAGCGTGCATCACGTATAGCACTGAACTGATTGTCCGTCTCAAAATGTCCATGAAGCGACATTGTCTTTCTTGTTTTTAACTTCTCTTTTACTACCGTCTTCCTGTATTCTTTGTTTTCGATGATTTTCTTACAAGGTTTTTGAATTTTTGCCACGAACTTTAGGCGTGTCTCTTTACCGTTTACCATGAACCAGTCCAACGACCTACGTTCACTCGCTACACATTCTTCAATGCCAATGTCCTCTACCCCCTTCTTTTTATGGAGTGTATATCATGTTATTATTTGAACATGTGTTGTATAAGAATAGGAATTAATGCTATTCATTTTAATAGCAAAACGTAAAGCTGAAATGAACCTTATTGAGAAACCAAAATGAAGAGAAAGGGCAAATGAATTTCTAACCGTAAAAATAAAAGAATAATTATTACTGATATTTTGTGTATATGCCTGGTGGTCAACAAGGGATCAAGGATTCCATGAAGAGGTCGAGGATAGAAATGTTCGGGGTCCTATGAATTAGACGATACAAATATAACTTTTTAGATATGAAAGCTTTTTATGACAGACGGGTAATATCTTTGCATTTCCCTAATCTAAAGAAAATGAGATCCACCCTGAAATGTTAACAAAATCAATGACCTATTTTATTTAATTATTTATAGTTTTAAATTTAATATTTATATATGAAAATATTATTTTTATATATATACATAATAACATCTATTGTTTCACAAGAAAAAAAGTTCGACCAGTATGTTTCTGGAAGATAACGCTTTTAAGGCAAGCAGTCTTTGAAATGAAAGTGCTCAATATCAAGAGGTAAAACATTAATAGTAACAAATAAAAATTAAATGTTTAATTTAAAAATTTACAAACTTTCGAAAAATACTTATTTAATAACATTGAAATAATATGTAGCAGTTAATTTCATTAGTTGCTGTATGGTAATATATAGATATTTATATATAACTATATATATATAACTATATATATAACTATATATATATATATATATATAACTATATATATATATATATAACTATATATATATAACTATATATATATATATATAATATATAAACTATATATGTATATATATAACTATATTTTTATATATATAACTATATATATATATAACTATATATATATAACTATATATATATATAACTATATATAGATATATATATATATAACTATATATATATAACTATATATATATATATAACTATATATATATAACTGTATATATATATGTAACTATATATATATATAACTATATATATATATAACTATATATATAACTATATATATATATAACTATATATATATATAACGATATATATATATATAGTATATATATATGACTATGTATATATATATATAACTATATATATATAACTATATATACATATAACTATATATAAACTTTCTCTATATATAAACTATATATGAATATATATATAAACTATATAAATATATATATATAAATATATATACATATAAATTTATATAAATATTCAAATAATACATATAAATATATATATAGGTATTTATGATAGAAAATGAACAAATATTAAACGTTTATAAATTTGACATGTCTCGCTTTGATTTAGGCTTCATCACTTTTTTTGGGTGGGGGGTAATGAGTTGCGGAAGAGAATGTTTCGTTATATTTGAATTCTGTGTTATTTGTGTTTCAATGATCAGATTCTGTGTGTGTGTGTGTGTGTGTGTGTGTGTGTGTGTGTGTGTGTGTGTGTGTGTGTGTGTGTGTGTGTTTTCGCGTGTTCGTTTTCTTGTAGATATTTTTGTGTCTGCCTAGTAGTGCCCATGTGTATAAACCCTGAAAATGAAAATGGGAGAAGAATGTGAAGGGTGTGCCCGTACGTATATGCGTATCAATTTTCTAGTTGGTCTTGCGCTAGATGATCGGTATGTGTGTTGACTGTTAGATGAATGTTACAACGTCAAACCTCAGATACAAATTGATATTTTTTTAAGTTTTATCTAAATTTCCTTTTTATTTGGCTTATCTTCAATTATTATACATTCAGTATATGTAATTAATTTTAATACTATTTATTTCTTCATATTTAATCAATTGATTTTCCTCTAATTATTCTGCTTTAAAATTAATTTATTTTCATTATATTTTTGTATTGAAGCATTTTTCAGCTTCGCAAAATAAACAAAACAACAACAACAACAAAAAAGACGTGTTGAAAACGCTGTAAAATGCACTGCAATCTGAAAATCTTGTTTTCTTCAAAGTGAATTTACAAAACCAATCCTTTGTCATAACTGAAAAGTTGGCGGTTGTTGCCAGAAACAAATTTTCTGCAGGAAACAGGTAAACAATTATTGGGTACACTCCTGGTCTTGTGCAAAACTAACGTAAACTTAATTAATGTCTGTAAAGTGGCAGTGTTGCAGATTTTAAAAGAATGCAAATATACTGTGTGTTAATAATATTAAATATGAAATTTACTTATATATACGATGTAAAATATATTTATATACTAATACATATATTACAATGTAAAATCAAACTTTAAATGAACGTAACTATTCTTAATTTTAAGAATTTGTCACCTAAAAGGATTCAACTTTTAAAAATTTGTTTCTCGTTTGTTTGTTTTTAGTTTTGTTTTTTTTGTTTGTTTGTTTTTTTTTTTTACCAGACCACTAATTTACAATTTCATATTGGGAACTGATCAAGACATACTTTAATCTTTACCATATGCGTTACATCCTGTTACAACATGTATTTTTCAAATTGTTTTAAAATTCATATACCGGTAAGATTTTTTTTAAAAAACTTTTCCTCTTCGCAATATTTTAATTTTGCTGAAGTATGCAAAAGAGAAGAAGAAAATGCTGCAACATAATGGAATCTGAACAATTTTCTATAATAAAATTTTTGTAAACTTTTGTATAGATAGATGCCTCTGAGTAAAACGAAAATAAAAGTAATATAAAAAAAAAAATTTTCAAGACGGAAAAGGAAGGGAATAAAGGAAGCTCCAAAATGGATAGTGACAATTGATAATTGCTTGGAAGGGAAGATTGGTTAGTTTGCTGAAATAGAATTATCTTCTTCAGATCGATACGGAGTGAATAATCAAGATAGATATGAACTAAGTGAAATACGTCAATAAATTAGAAGGGAACACAATAAAATGAGAGAGGGGAAATAATATCAGAGAGAGAGAAATATATGTTATGTACACATACAGATAGATAGATAGATAGATAGATAGATAGAAATAGATAAATGATATAGATAGAGGATGTAAATAGGTAGATAAATGAGATAGATAGATAGAAATAGATAAATGATATAGATAGAGGATGTAAATAGGTAGATAAATGAGATAGATAGATAGATAGATAGATAGATAGATAGATGGATAGAAATAGATAAATGATATAGATAGAGGATGTAAATAGGTAGATAAATGAGATAGATAGATAGATAGATAGATAGAAATAGATGATATAGATAGAGGATGTAAATAGGTAGATAAATGAGATAGATAGATAGATAGAAATAGATAAATGATATAGATAGAGGATGTAAATAGGTAGATAAATGAGATAGATAGATAGATAGATAGATAGAAATAGATAAATGATATAGATAGAGGATGTAAATAGGTAGATAAATGAGATAGATAGATAGAAATAGATAAATGATATAGATAGAGGATGTAAATAGGTAGATAAATGAGATAGATAGATAGATAGATAGATAGATAGATAGATAGATAGATAGATAGATGGATAGAAATAGATAAATGATATAGATAGAGGATGTAAATAGGTAGATAAATGAGATAGATAGATAGATAGATAGATAGATAGATAGATAGAAATAGATGATATAGATAGAGGATGTAAATAGGTAGATAGATAGATAGATAGATAGAAATAGATGATATAGATAGAGGATGTAAATAGGTAGATAAATGAGATAGATAGATAGATAGAAATAGATGATATAGATAGAGGATGTAAATAGGTAGATAAATGAGATAGATAGATAGATAGAAATAGATAAATGATATAGATAGAGGATGTAAATAGGTAGATAAATGAGATAGATAGATAGATAAATAGATAGAAATAGATAAATGATATAGATAGAGGATGTAAATAGGTAGATAAATGAGATAGATAGATAGATAGATAGATAGATAGATAGATAGATAGATAGATAATATCAGCCCGTTCAAAAAACTGATTTTTGGATGTGGGCCTGCCTGAGAAATTTCAGGGCATTTTTCTAAATATGGACAAACTGAAATATATTTATAGATATCAAAACACACACACACACACACACATATATATATATATATATATATATATATATATATATATATATATAAAAGAATGAGAGAGAGAGTGAGTGTGTGTGTGTGTGTGTGTGTGTGTGTGTGTGTGTGTGTGTGTGTGTGTGTGTGTGTGTGTGTGTGTGTGTGAAAGAAAATCGACATAAAATAGTGAAATAGATATGAACAAACTACAGTATAAGACAGGGAATAAATAAGTAACAGATTGAGAACATAGACATACATTCCTTAATTCATTTCTTTATTACATTATAACCAAATTAAATTATTCTGGGTTTCATCCACACGGGATTCGTAGAATCATAATTCAATTCATCATTGAAATCTTTTTTTTTTTTTCTATAATAGAAAATCTTTTTATTATTTTCTTCGTTTCCATAAAATTGCCGTTCTTGTTCTCAAAATCTTGTGCGCTCAGTACCTTAGTGTCTACCATTATGAATATTTGCGCACGTTCATTCGTTAAGGATATTCTCATTCTCCCTTTCTCTCTCTTCTTTTTTAACTGTTAGTATTTTCCGCTTTCTACCTTTCGATATATAAAGAATCAAAGTACTGGGGAAAGCATACAATAGTTGAATTCTATTTTACACCATATAATCCAAACATATTTTCCACTTACTATTACTGGGATATATATATTTTCCAGAATCGCCCTAAGACGATCACAGAATTAAATAACCATTTCTGTAGAGTTTGGCACTTCTATTTACAGAGATTTGCTTAGTCTGATACAAGGTTTACACGTGCAAGGCATACGTTGAGTATCGAATTTATTATATTCGTGTTGGTATAACTTAACTTCCTCTTTCCCAATTAGCATGCATCACTCTTGACCACGCATGTGAGCCTTAATGGCCAATTAGCGGAACCCGACTTGTACAGAGGCAGTCTTTTGGTAGAAGTCGCTTCGCTAAGTGATGTATATTTGACGTGTGGGTAGACAGCTTTTTTGCAACGTGACGTGTCATACTTGTGAGTAACGACATCCTTTTGTAACGTCTACGAGTTTTCTTTTTCAGGGGCGGGAAGAAGGCAGGTAATACATTTTTATACTTTGTTAACATATCGTATTTCTGGGCAATAACTTCCGACTTCTCCTTGACCATCTTTATTATTTTTAATAAATATTTAGGTAATTATCTGCTTTTGACGGCCATGTACTTTCAAGGTTGCCCAACATATATTTAGTAACACTTGGGCACCTCTCCGTGGTGTAATGGTTAGAAAGCTTGTCTTGCTAGATCAAGTTCGACTGAGTAGTGACTTCGATCCTTCCTTGCGCCACTTCTAAGCCACGCTTAGAAAATCACTATTTTGGGCACCTCGAGGAGGTGTAATGGTTAGCAAGCTTACTTCGCTAGAACAATTACGACTGAGTAGTGATTTCTATTTTCACTGGGTGCCACATACTTTCGGCCTTGTGCTACATCTGAACTACGCTTGGAAAATCGCTATATTGGTAACCCTACACTCCCAGTGTAAGGTTAGCTTGGTAATCATTTCTACACAGTAAGGCACTTCGATTTACCGAGTTTCGCTTAGTCTGGTACAAGGCCACAAATATTCATAATATTTTACTTCTTATTCAGAAGGTATTTATGGGAGAGTGAACTTCGCGGTTGATTTACTGCGACTGGCCTTTGTCATTATAGACCATGCGTGTAACATCATTAAGAGATGTTACTAATGTCTAATCTTCGAGGTAAATATGGGAGAACACTTAACGTTCACCTACATATTAACTTCCGTATTAAACATTGTGACGAGAAACTTTTTCCAAAATGTATTGCTATATGGCAGAATGCATAGTTGTATTTTTATGCCTTTCCCGAAGTTATTACAGACTAGCAGTAGAGCCCGGCGTTGCCCGGGGATGTAACAGTAAGAGATAGATCAACTATCGACCATCATAAAGACTGAAAAATAAAATTAACAAAGATTATTGTTTAAGGTTGACGGACACGCATGCCTTAATTAGTTATTTTTTTTTTTTTACGAATTGGTCAAACCCAATCTCAAACAAAAACATTGTTTTCAATCATTGTGAGTCTACCGATTGAATAGAATTTTATTATAAACAATTGTCTTGTAAATGGAATTTTTAAAGCATTCTGAATGTAAAAATAAAGAAAAAAGTGTGCAAGACAATAAGAAACACTACCTGCCAAAAAAAGTGAATTTTTGTTGAAATCGGTTGAAAAATGTAGGAAATCCGATCCCATATATAAACGAACACACACATACACACAAACAACCTGGGTTTTATAATAAGTATAACTCGATATGAGTTGTTCCTCTTTTATTCTGGTGACTGAATCGTGTTTTATCGTGTTTTCAAGTTGATTTCATGCAAAAACAATTGTGTTTTTCAATTTTTGGCACTGTCAGAACCACCGCAAGGTAATTTTATGTAGTCCTGTGAAGTTTTGTTGAAATCGGTTGAAAAATGTAGGAAATCTGATCTAATATATAAACGTACAGACACACACACACACACACACAATCTGCGTTTTATAATAAGTAAGATAAACAAACATAAACTGCTTCAACTGGAATTCGATCTCGGTTTGATATTTTTATTTTCTTGATGATAACTGTAAAGAGACATGCACCTGGATTCTTTATCCCTACCCTCAATAATATTTCCATGCAAATGGTCATTATTCAAAAGTACACACTTTTGTTCAATAACAACTAAGAATTCAAGCACATTGCCTTATTTATTGGTACAGAGATTTAACCAGCTTGCTTATTGGCTGAGGTGGTTGCGTTCTTTCCAACTGTCAGTGTTTGAACCCAGGTGAAACCTAGGGTATTGAATAGCGATTTTCAAAGTAGACAAGCGCACTCTTCTTGGATAGAATAGCTTAATACAATTTTTATACTTCGCATTTCACCCTCCTCTCCACTTCATCCTGTGTCGGGACAAGACTAAGTTTAATAAATATCGAAATTAAATTGCTTTTGACAAGGTCAGAAAAATCTAGCTATTTATCTGGATGTTCCTTGCAGTGCAAATTGCTCGCTGCATGGGTCTGCTTAATGGTCGAGGTAGATGCGTATTTCCTGCAGGCACCTTGTCTCGCGGTTTGAACATAGGAATTAACCAAGAATCTAAATGCATGTTCTCCCCACGATCGGCGCAACGCAATCTTCATACTGTGTCTTTCACCATTTGGCCATTTATGTTTTAACAAACTAAGCTTAATAATTATATACACTATTTACATGCGGATTATTGTCCTCACCTTTGTTGCTTTGATTGCAACAACAAAGATCAAGACAATAGTCCGTATGTAAATAGTATAAATAATAATAACTCCACGTCCCAGAAATTCAGACAAAAATTATACGGATCCGACGTAATACAACTATGGAGGCAGTCGGAAAATCTCCATCAAAAATTGGTACGGATGTCAAACTACCTGGCATTCATCTACAGATGTAGAAACCGAAAGCTAATTCCCACCAGGCTTATCTGTCAAGACATCGGCCAGTTCTTGGAGGGTACAAAGTGTAATGGAAGGGCATGGCACACACTCGCGAGGAAAAGGATTATCCACAACTGCTGGAAGAAACATCAGATTGAATATGAAATATCCGACCAAGACATTACTTAACCAAATGTGATAACAACAACAAAGATGAGGAAAATAGCCTGCAAGTAAATAGTATAGATAATGATAACTCCTCATCTCAAGAATTCAGGAAGAAATTGACCAAATTGGTATGGATTGTAATCTAGATTATCAGTCAGACGTAAAGAATATCATATATACGTGGACATGCCGATAAACATATATACTTTGAGTCGATACAGACAGGGTCGAAATTTTTTAATGTCATGTCTCTTTAGGACGTAGTTGATCGTAACTCTCACAGATTCCTTTATTTATTATCTGTAAATTACCATGTATTCGTAAAGGAGTGGTTTCACATTGCCTTATTCACGGTTTGGAATTCTTAATTTTCTTGTTCTTAGACTGGTTACCACCGAGTGCTAGGGAGACCAGTCTATCCTGCTATTTAAGCCATTAAGTGAGGAGAGAAGAGATGGATTAAGGCTTTCCCAAGGGTATCTGTACGAAAGTGAATGCAACGGACTAGCCCGTAATTTGAACTTGGCTCGACGATTCCACTTTCCGTGCTGATAACTGTTAGACTATCCCCACACAAAATTGCATTTATATTTCAGGCTACATGTGTATTTGAACCGGAATTCAATTTTATTTATTTATTCTTTTTTTTCATTTCGATTATTTTTTAATTATTTTTAATCATGGCAACTAAAGAACGTTTATTAATTTTGATTAAAATATTTTTGCAATAGAAAACTTGTTATCAACAAAAATAAGAAAAAAATTCTGAGTAAAAAGAAAACTTATTTCCAAAAACCATTCCAACCAGTTTTCAAACTAACAAAAAAATTATAAACCAGAAAATTTAGAATCAAATCCGTTACTAGTAAAAAAAAAAAGTCAAAAAGCGAGTCTAATATTTGCAAACAAATACATTATCTGGACCAATGAAAATTGAGCAAGAGTGGGCTTCAGTGACGAGAGAAAGTTTAATTTAGTTGGCTATGACAGACGCGTTAAAGGTGAGAGATTACTTCTCAGATGTGTGAAAAATCAGTTAAATTCAGAGATGGTAGCGAATTGGTGAAGTCGATGTTCTCTGGCACTACTTTTGTCTCACTAATTCGGTTTTGTTGGAAAGTAAATGTTCCAGATTTTATTAATGTTATTGAACACCAATGTTATTCCTGTTTCTAAGTACAAGATAATACACCTTGTCTTACTTCAAAAACGGTAAAACATTGATATATATATATATATATATATATATATATATATATATATATATATATATATATATATATATATATATATATATATATATAT